ACTGAATCAAATAAATCCAAACGAAAAATTCAATCCATAAACAAAAAACTCCAACAAGTTCTATAAATATAAACAAAAAATCACAAGAGTGGCACACCAGAAAAAACAGAATAGCATATTAGAAATCAACCTCCAATAAAACGCTCAGAATACGGTGAATCCAAGTATAATAACAACAAAATCCTAATTATGGATGCCTTATAAAAAATTCAAAACAACAAGCAAATATTTATTATAAATCGCAAACAACCACACAAACAACTAAAAAAAATTAATATTTTCGCTACTAAACTTGTGTTAAAAAACAATAGTATTAAACAAAAAAATAATATAACAACAAATAAAACAGACACCAACCTACTGTATCAACACTAGAAACCCCTAAAATACCTACGCCTGTTTGATAACACAAAATAGGTTTGATATTTCGTATTAATCAGTTTCCCAATAAAAGAAAAAGTCCAAAACCTAAGGCAAAACTATAAAACCTAAATTACCTGAAAATCACACCCGTATAATTAATACCAATCCTAAGGCTACTTCTAGTGGCATAATAACTAAAATGATATAAAAGCAGCAATTGCTGCTTTAGGATTTGTTCTAAGACAAAAAAATAACACAAAAACATTAACCTTTTCTAAAATAATCAAAACATTTATAAATTTTCCACAAAAAACTAGTAATAAAATACAAACAATAAGTAAAAAAAAACAAATATAACTCAAACACCTACCTCCTATTAACTATCATATAAAAATGATCCCTAACCTTAATAAACAATAAGAAAAAATGCAACAATAAATTGGCAAATAACCTTATTATTTGACACAAACTCGTTGGATCGACTGAGCATATAATGCCCAAGAATATAAAACTATAACTAAAAACCCAAATAAAACAAATGACGAGATACCCTTTGGAAACCAGTATACCTAGCTGTAATTGGTACTCAAAATAAATTATTAACCAAAATAACAACCACTATTCCACCTATCTTACTTTAAATTGAACGTTAGATAGCATGAAATTGAAGAAAATACCACTCAGGCCTTATATTC